CCCCTCCCCCCTTTTTTACTCCCCCTTATCCCCTTTTACCCCCCTTACCCTCTTTGTACTCCATCATCACTCCCTCAACCCTTTTACAAGACACTCCCTCCTTTATTCCTCTCATCCCTTTAGACCCCCTCACTCCCTTTACACTCCCTCTAGATCCGCTCACTCCTTTTACACTCCCTCTAGACCCACTCACTCCCTTTACACTCCCTCTAGATCCGCTCACTCCCTTTACACTCCCTCTAGAACCCATCACCCATTTTACACTCCCTCTAGACCTCCTCACCCCCTTTACACTCCCTTTAGATCCCCTCACCCTTTTTACACTCCCTCTAGACCCCCTCACCCCCTTTACACTCTCTCTTGATCCCCTCACCCCTTTACACTCCCTCTTGATCCCCTCACCCCCTTTACACTCCCTCTAGATCTCTTCACCCTCTTTACACTCCCTCAACAAGAACTGTCTTTATGTTAGTTAATNGATCCCCTCACCCCCTTTACACTCACTCTAGATCCCCTCACCCCCTTTACACTCCCTCTAGATCCCCTCACCCACTTTACACTCCCTCTTGATCCCCTCACCCCCTTTACACTCCCTCTAGATCTCTTCACCCTCTTTACACTCCCTCAACAAGAACTGTCTTTATGTTAGTTAATAAAGATTATAATTATAATAATAATTTATCCCTTTAACCATAAAAAACTAGAATTCATTCGGGAACATTTCAAGAGGTTTCACAGTTTCCGGTGTCAAATACATCAAACAAAATTTGATAAAAAACTTACAAGGTTCTGATGAGTGCAGGAGATACACTCTCCTCCGGGGAGGGGGTATTTGTACCCCCCACTTTCGGTGGGATGATGAGCCCTCGCCCTGAACAGTCGGCATAGTGCTCGGTACAAACACAAACTTGAAAGCACTGAAAAAAACATAAAATCAAGAAAGTCTTGCAACTTTCCTCCTCTTTCCAGCGATTAAAAATTATTAAAAAGGACCGGAGAAGGGGGAGGGGGTGCGGTGGGGTTGAAAAAAAACGTCATAAAGTTGTAAAATTAGCATTTAATACACATTTTCAATCTCTAGCCCAACTTTTTGTAAACATTTTACTTCATAAGTATTTTTAAAATCTGACAGGTTTATATATTTCATTTTTATTTATATGTTGTTAAAAGATGGTTGGAATGTACAAACTATATAATTTTTTATAAGAAATCAATATTATAAAAAAGATTAAAAGATAATCACTCAACTGAAACTCCGAGATTGCCAAAATTCGACGAAAAAAATTTTTTTTTTTGCAATAATCTAAAATTACCAGAAATGCAACATTTTCAATAAATCCCGATAGGCTTCAAACTTTTAAGTTAAACTTGTGGAATTTTTTTCTTTTATTTGCGGATTTTGAAGTATTAGAGAAAATTCAATGGCTTGTTATTCATCTTCAGACCAACCGTTCAAACCTCTTTAAAGAGGTGGCATTTACTTATCCAAATTTTTCTTATTGTAAAAAACAAGAAAAGTGAGGAATAAATAGAATTCTTTTTCTTTCTTTTTAGTATTAAAGAAATTATGTAATTTGTTAATATTTCAGCTGCTATACAGAGTGTTTAGAAAAAGGAAAAATGTACTTTTTTATCAAGGGTTTTATATGATTTTGAATGGTCAGTAATGAAATACTTTTTGGTATAATTAAGATTACGAGTTTGATAGCAAGAATTTCAAAAGACGGTTTATGAAGATTTTTGAGAGAGATTAAACACACTAAATAATCATATTGCAATATCACATCCTTTAGTGGCTGGGCCTATTTTTCTAGTGAAAATTGTTGCTTTGTAACAAAAATAAAACAACTTAACTATTGCTATAATGTCGTCTTTCTATTCCAGTGTTTTCTGGTTATTACTGGACAATATCCCCAGTAATTTAGTTACCTGTTTTGAATTACTATTACTGGGGGAATTCCAGGTAAAATTGTTGTTTGACCCGCCTTCCTCTAGATGTCTCTGCCATCCATCCTTATCTACAGGGGGGTCCAGCGCACCAGAGAATCCTGTAAAGTTATTGTTATTGTTTTTTTTAAACTGTTTTTATTTTAGCTGTTTATTCATATCAGATGTTTTATATCATCTTTTTATTCAACAGGCTGCTTTGAATTTCAGCTTTCTTTCAAATCAGCTGATTTTCAAATCAGCTGTTTTTCAAATCAGCTGTTTTTCAAATCAGCTTTCTTTCAATCAGCTGTCTTTTAAATCAGCTGTCTTTCAAATCAGCTGTCTTTCAAATCAGCTGTCTTTCAAATCTGCTGTTTTTTAAATAAGCTGTCTTTCAAATCAGCTGTCTTTCAAATTAGCTGTTTTTTCATTCAGTTGTCTTTCAAATCAGCTGTTTTTCAAATCAGCTGTCTTTCAAATTAGCTGTTTTTTCATTCAGTTATTGTATTCGAAAGAATCTCAGGACACCCTGTCTAAAGAATCTCAGGACACCCTATCTAAAGAATGTCAGGACACCCTGTCAAAAGAATCTCAGGACACCCTGTCTAAAGAATCCCAGGACACCCTGTCTAAAGAATCCCAGGACACCCTGTCTAAAGAATCCCAGGACACCCTGTCTAAAGAATTCCAGGACACCCTGTCTAAAAAATCTCAGGACATCCTGTCTAAAAAATCCCAGGACACCCTGGCTAAAGAATCTGAGGACACCCTGTCTAAAGAATCTCAGGACACCCTGTCTAAAGAACCCCAGGACACCCTGTCTAAAGAATCTGAGGACACCCTGTCTAAACGGCAGTTAAGAAAGACTAATGCTTTCCTGGAAAAGATGATTTTCGTTTCAAAATTCCTTTCAGCTAAATTAGTTTAGCCACAAGAAACTTTTCTTTGGAAAGATTTTCCCATAAATTAGACAATATCTATAAGAGACTACTTGGAGCGATTGATTTTTACGAGAATTTAGAGGATAAAGGATAAAACTTCTTTTTTGTTCTCAATTCTTGATTTTAACTGTTTTGTATCGGATAGAGGGACCATTAATGATTCACAACAATACCCAGGAAAATGTCTTTGAAAACCTGATAATTAATCATTCAGGGGCGTTTACAAAGGGTCACTGGGAGGGAATACCTGTATACTTCCCTGTATTTAAAATAATATTTAAAATAAAGATTATCTCCAAACCTGTTTCTTGTTTACATTGTACTGTACTGCAGTAGAGAACCACAAGTACAAGCCCCTGGCTGGGGAAGTACATTTTCAATCAATATTTTGTCACAAATTCATTCTGAAATTGGCAAAATTAAACCATCCATCTTTCTTGCTGTAAAATCACATTTTCTTGGTTGAGGATCAATCACATTTTGATGGGTTATGAAGTTTCGTCGATTTTCTTAAATCTTCTCCATTTTTCATCCACATTTTACCCGAATAACATATTTTATTCGCAAAATTCAAACTTTTTAAAAAGAGTTAAAAATAGAGATTTAAGTTGAAAATATTTGAACTTTAGTACAGTGAAACCCTTAATAATCAATACATCGGAAGAATTTATCAAATGTCGTCTTGACAATTTAATTAAAAAACTAAATATCTGCAACATTCCATTATCAGAAAGTGAAGAATACGACATTTGATGAATTCTTTCAATGTATTCGTTATTATAAGGGTTTCACTGTACGTAAGTCAAAAACTCATATAAACAATTTTTAATGGATTTTTTCTTTTAAAGAAATCATTTCTATACCCCATCCCTCCTCCCACCCCTCCTCTTCATTTTCCTACTCCCATCCCCCCCTCCCTCCCTTTCCCTCACATTTCGGAGACGTTTGGTTGATTCTTCCCAGCTTCAGATCTTGTAGTTTAATATATGAAGTGTTAATTTCTGGAGTGTATTTGTTCAAAAACACAAGCAATGGTTCTCTTTGATCCTGAATAAATAGCAAGTATAATATCCTGCTCCTACTCCAACTCCTAATTATAGTTCATCTTTCAAACACCATAAATTGCATGGAAATAGGCTTAGAATTCATTCTCTTTAATGCTTTTATTGCACATTGAGCGAGCCCAAAGGAAATGGAGAACAGTAATAAAATGTCTGGTAAAGTCAGAGATGAGAACTTTTGAATGTACGGAAATGGTTTGAAGTGGTTTGAATAAGCTCTCTCGTGGTGATTGTAACTCAACCCCTAAAGTTTGCGAATTCGACATTTACGAATCTAATGATCTAAAATCATGAATCTAAAAATGTTGCCTCTTGAGCTATAGGTAAAACTTAAATAGCTGTCTCATTAAAAAGTTTTCATCCTTGAGATTGTAATTCCCGGAACTAATTTAAATCATTTGAATTAAGTTACTTATTCTCTTGATGGTCAATATAGTCAGATTTAAATTTTAAACGGAATTAGATTAGTTTTATGTATTCGAAAGGTTCGAGTCCGGATATTTTTAAGATCATTTAACTTTTTTCTGCCTTGGGAAGTTGTTTTATCATCTTAAAACTCTTATTGGTCACTTGGCATAAATTGAACAACCAATGGTGGGCTTGGATTAGGTTCAGGAGTCAGCTGATATTTTTCAGTCGCGTGATGGATTCCATTATTTGAGCCAACACACCTGCAAGACATTTAAATTCATTAAAAGACAGTTTAAAGTGAACATTATTAAAAGTCAGGGCTTATGCAACTTAAATATTACATATTAAAGGCATGAATGAATTTGGTAGGAGGAGGGGGGGGGGGGGGTTTAATCTAGATTTTGGAAGTATAGTTAGCAAAAAATATATATAATATATTTGGTATTAATATATAGTTTGCATAAATAAATGTATAACTGCATACGTATATATATATTGTATTCACAATGTAGAATGTACAGAGACCTAAGATTAATGTAATTTATTGAATACATATCCGCAGAACATTATACAGTTAATCTAGTCCTATATATTTTTACGGGTCTAGTCGTCTATACCTGTTTTTAAAGCTCTAAAGCTGTCTGTATATATTTTTAGCGGTATCTACAGCTCTCTGTGTTGCTGTCTGGATATTAAGCTGTCTTTATATCTGTCTAGTATTCAGCAGTATTATAGCTGTCTAGTATTCAGCTGTTTTTATATCTGTCTAGTATTCAGCTGTCTTATAGCTGTCTAGTATTCAGCTGTTTTTATATCTGTCTAGTATTCAGCTGTCTTATATCTGTCTAGTATTCAGCAGTCTTATAGCTGTCTAGGATTCAGCTGTCTTATAGCTGTCTAGTATTCAGCTGTCTTACAGCTGTCCAGTATTCAGCTGTCTTATAGCTGTCTAGTATTCAGATGTCTTATAGCTGTCTAGTATTCAGCAGTCTTATATCTGTCTAGTATTCAGATGTCTTTATAGTTGTCAAGTATTTAGCTGTCTTCATAGCTGTCTCGTATTCAGCTGTCTTATATCTGTATAGTATTCAGCTGTCTAGTATTCAGTTGTCTTATAGCTGTCCAGTATTCAGCTGTCTTTATATCTGTCTAGTATTCAGCTTTCTTTATCTGTCTACTATTCAGTTGTTTTATAGCTGTCTAGTATTCAGCTTTCTTTATAGCTGTCTCGTATTCAGCTGTCTTATATCTGTATAGTATTCAGCTGTCTTATAGCTGTCTAGTATTCAGTTGTCTTATAGCTGTCCAGTATTCAGCTGTCTTTATATCTGTCTAATATTCAGCTTTCTTATATCTGTCTAGTATTCAGCGGTCTTATATCTGTCTTATTCAGCTGTCTTATAGCTGTCTAGTATTCAGCTGTCTTTATATTTGTCTAGCATTCAGCTGTCTTTATATCTGTCTAGTTTTCAGCTGTCTTATATCTGTCTAGTATTCAGCTGTCTTATAGCTGTCTAGTATTCAGCTGTCTTATAGCTGTCTAGTATTCAGCCGTATATATAGATGTCAAGTATTTAGCTGTCTTCCTATTCTACTATCTATCTGGCTGTCTAATTTTCTATATGTCTAATTGTCTAGCTATCAGGTTGTCTGCTACCCTGTTTTGCTGTTCAAATCTCTGTCTATCTCCATTTTAAGCTGTTTCTATAGTTGTCAGGACGGTCAATTGTTGTGATTTCTTTTCTTATAATTCTTTTTCCCAGTTTTTATCCTGCATTTCTAAATGTATAGATATAGAATCGGAATAAAAGTCAAAATTGCAAAAAATTCTTCTATTTGTGGATCTGTTACCATTTTTCTGTCTTTAATTTTGGAAATTAAAGTTTTTTCTTTTAATTTATAGATGTTTTTTTGATCCTCCTGCAGTAGTATATACTGAAGGGCCCGGCGCTGCCCGTGGAAAAAATAAATCGAAGAAAACGTTAATATTTTTTCTTAAATCGATTTTTTTTTAGCCTTAAACACACTTCCGGCCACCTATGAGTGTCCTAAAAAAATGTCAGCCCATTCGGTACAGCCGTTTGGCCGGCTATAGGCAACATATATATATATATATATATATATACGAATGCCTTGTTTTATTATATAGATATATGAAACTGTAAGTGCTTTATTTTTCTATCTATATTTGTAAATATTTGATATGAGTTTTTAATGAGAATATATTGAGTGTAAATAAATAGTTAATATAAATCCTCAAGAACGGAAATCATAAAAGAACCGTTATTGTTATTTGAACTTAATTTAGTTGTCCGATTTAGAACAATTTATCTAATAAATAATGTGATAGATATCTTTGTTATTCTAGCTTAAAAGGTGTTTTATTGAAAATCTTTAAAGAATAAATAAGAAATTATTCAAAGAAGCATTTGGTGTCAAATTCTAAGGTTAAAACGCCACAGAAGATGTAGATTAAAGATACAAAAGTTTTGCACTTTGTTTAATACTTACTTAAAATTAAGTTAACAGCCCTTTTAAGAGAATATAAATAGTTTCAAACAGGAATTATTGAGTAATAAAATATACATAAGATGACGCTATAAAATACAAATATAGTCATGCTATTGATATTTCCAAATACAGATTTACATAATGGTCTCTAAAACTCACGCTTATTCAGCTACTATCAACTAAACCTGTACATTTTGACGTAAAAATATATATAGATTAGATTGCAGACAGAACAGATATATTTTCAACATAAATTAGTTTTGTTTGTTTGTTTGTGTTGAGTAAACGTGAAAACTACTGAAACGATGTGGCAACTCCATGACCCCAGGGTAGGTTTATGAATGGTTAAAGATAAAAATGCTGCACAGAAAAAGAGTCAACATTGATTATTTTTGAAATTGCACAAATTTAAACCGAAAAATTTGCAATCATTTTCCATATGCCAAAAATTGATGTTTAATTTTACATCAAAAAAGGGGCCAAAATTAGCTAGCTTAGTTTTATACGCTACTTGCGTAGATTAAAAAGTTCAAAATCTTTCGCTAAAACTGAAGAAACTTCTATATAATATACTATTCGACTACCTTCATAAATAAAAAATAAAAAATTGTTAAATAAGATAATCGATTATTTATCTTTTATGTATTTGAACAGTTGGTGAAAAATAATATTTTGATATTTTATCGTCATGTTTTATTTAAAATTTTATTTTTTGTTTATTTTAATGAAAATGAGAAAACAAAATATTTGACAAAGATATTAAACAATATCTGATTTTAGAAGATTATTTGTTCTAATTTTCTAAAATTCTGTGGAGTGAAACAAAAAATGAAAAAAGATTAAAAAAATTTAATGTTTAGTAAGGTTATCAGGATTTATGTACACAAATTCATATTTTACAATTATTCAAATAAAGTTTACATACATTTATACGATGTATTTAATACAAGGTTATAAATGTACAACAAAATATGTAGAGTGTACAGAATTAGTATTTCATGAAACTATAGTGTATTTTATCATAATTACTCACTTCAAAATTAACGAGCTATAAAGTAATCATCGTGCTATAATGTTAAATTATCTTTACATTACAGCACCTGTGCTATAAAGTTTTGATTGGTTCCCGGATTATCTCCAAAAAATTTAGGATATTTCCAAAATATTTTTTTCAATTGAAATGAAAATAAAATTGAAATCAACTTTATATTTTGACTTCTGCTTTGTTTCAAAGCTTATTTGATCTTGAAACAGCCATTGCGATAAGACAAGAACACAAACGTTTCATAAAATTACCTATAACACTATTATTTTGGCATTACGTGCTATACAGTTTTTGGACTTAAATTTTCTCTATATCGCTTGAACCTTCTCGATAAAGAGAAAATTTCTGTTCAAAAACTGTATAGCACTGCGAACCAATATAACAGTGTTATAAATAGTATTATACAACAAATGAAATATTAATGAATATTGTTTATTAGCATCATTAAATATAGGGTTTAAGGGGGAGGAATGTAAATGTTAAGTAATAATTGGAAACATAGGAAATAGTCAAAGGAAGAGCTATGGGGGGGGGGACGGGGTCAGTTATTAATATTA